CGCTATTCGTATCATGTTATTTTAACCATACTTTATTGTCGAGTAACATTTTCATCTTGTTAACCAATGTAATTCAGTCTTTTATTACAAAACTGGTACTTGTAATAAATCATGAATAAAAAGCTTAAAGGGAATTTCAACGGTTTTCTGACTTATTAGTGAGCTTAAGCAAGTGACGTTTTTGACAACACGTACGTTAACCGGAAGTAAAGTTTTTGTTTTTCACCAATCACAATCCTGGACCCAGTCTTTTCACGTTGCTCATGCCGTTTGTGTTGTCAAAAACGTCGCTTGCTTAAGCTCACTATTGATGGGCTTAAAACGTTGGACACTGAGTCTCGTTTTCTTAGGATCTCTTTTTCAGCAAGGCCTTTGATCGCATTAACCACCACAATGTTTTGGTTAGAAAATTGCCCTCGTTTGGGGTTAGAGAGTCACTGATTCCATGGTTTGCGAATTGCTTTCTAATCCCCGCCAGTTTGCTATCAATATTGATGGTCAGTATAATTCTGAATGGGTTTTGTTAATGGTAGGGCCCTGAGGGAACATAGCTTGTTATGATAAATGACTTGGAGTTAAAACCAAAAAATACAAATCATTGGAAATGGCGATGATCGAGCAGCTTTTCAGGAGAAAAGGTATCGTCCATGACCTAGAATTTTAACAACTTTAACTGTAATATCAACTGGAACGCGAACTCTTATAGTTCAGCGTAATACTTAACTGAACCAAATTTGTGACCTTCCACAGGAAAACATACGTTAACGCTATTTCGTTCGTTCGAAAATATCGTTCGTTATCCGTTCGTTTGCCGTTCAAACGCTTCAAGCGTTCGTTGAAACGATTTTCGAGATCGTTCATCGTTCGAAATTGCCCGTTCGAACGCTTGGGAAAAATCGTTTGAAAATTGGTCCAAAAGCGTTCAACCGTTTGATTTACCGTTCGTTGAAACGTTTGCCGTAATTTCGTTCAATCGCATTGGATTTGGTTCAACATATTAGATTAAACATTTGCAATGTTACAACTTTGTAGAAGAAGCGCAGAATGTGCTACACAGAAATACTCCCAGAAACGTATTCAGTTCCTTAGTAGAAGACTTGTAAAGGAAATAGTGAGGTTATATCGTTTTAGCCTAATCGAATGCTATTTTGTGCGCTTCATGTTATGGTTGATGCTTAGCGTCATGCAGACATGAAGGCTATTAACATTCAGTGCATGCAATTATTTCATTAGCGTCAAATTTTACGTCGTAAGCTTTCTTTCAAAAATTTATCGTTTTTTGAATTTCGGTAATGCACTAAATGGTTAGAATTTGTGCTTTACTATACTTCTGTAGCTTCCATAAGCCAAATTTCACCGCACGCACAAACAACCTCTCAAGCCAAAATAAATATGCCCTGGCAAGGTGCTAATTAAGTTGCATAATTGTCGGAAGTCTCTAAATGTATGTAAACAGACAAAACCAGATTTTAAAATGAATTGAGGGATTTTGCGTGTTACATATTAATATCGTACTTGTAAACCATGTGTATTATATAGCTAATTTATTTACATCTGATAAACTTATCTAGCTGGGCCTCCGTACGAAGCAGCTACTGATTAAAATATATTCAAAATTAAGGACCGCATCCTAGGATGGACATTTCAGCTTGAAATTCGTTGTTTTTAATGCAGTCTGACATAGCTACAAATTATACAACAATTGAGATACCCTAGCTAATATTTGAAGACATAAATACAGTGACCTAACGCGCGTTCGGTAGGGTTACAACGAGAACTAAGAGATCCCCATTTATTGGGGGCCAGGATAGATAACGAAACATCATAGTATAAGCAAAACGTGATTTATGACAAACAGCGAATTAAGGGAACCCGCAGTACCAAGTGTACCTCAAAACCCCATCCTCGGCTCTGTTCGTTACGCCACTGCATGAATATCATAGCAATTTAAATATGTACGTGCATCTAGTCTAAAACTGGAGCCGGAGCAACAAGATCCTCAGTGCCCCGCTTCAAAATCGTCTTATTTGCTTAAAAAGGTATCTTTGTCTCCCCAGATCTAAGCCATCTGGCTCGATCGACATCGTTGCTGGCATGTTGAAAGGTGGCAATTGCATAAATATAACTTATGGCATAAATATAACTCATGCATTGTAAATATTTATTTAGACTCTTAATTCACAAAAAAATACTTCATATATATTGATATGTGCACATTTCAGCACAATTCACTCCCCATGTATATTTTGGTTGTAATTTGATTTCTCTCGACTTGCTCCTCGAATCGGAAACGTGGAACGCGGAAAAGGCTCAAATCGTATAAATGATACAGACTGTATGAAAGTAATGAACCTATATCAATGATGCATGTTCATTGTGTGACATTGTTTATTACAAAAATAAACTCCGTGTTTTGTGAGGTTGAGTTTTGCGCTATGTTTTAAAGTGCGTGCAGTCCTTCCTTGCGCACAACTGCGCTGACACAAGCCCAAAGGGCAAGTTGCCAAGCTAACGTTTACAAACATTTAAGTTTGACCTTTCAGATATTTTCCTACATATATTTCGCTATATATAATTCATTAGAAAAGGAGCATTGGAATTTATCTTGCTTGGACAACATATCAGCTGTTGGGCAACAGGAAAATTTTCACTAATTTTGATTTGGGCTCCGTTGATGAGAAATTACATTCCGGATATTAAATTGCAATTATGCATGGTCATTGCACCTTGAAGCCTGCCAGCTAGAGCGGCAAAATGAGCAAATTTGAAATGGCGCCTATCAACTGTTTATGCGTGCGTGAGCGCGCGGGTAAAGATCTTTAACAATAATTTCGCGAAGACTGTCCCAAATATTTGCTGGCTATTAGCATCTATGGAGAAGTCAAGGCGTTTTAACGCGTGCATATATAAAGGCTAATACCAGGTATGAACACTAAATGAAACATTAGCTATGATATAAGGAAAGTCATGACTGGGCCACTTTATCAGGCTGGTGCATGCAGTCGATAAAATAGATTATTATCATAATATTCTTAAGGTATAATGATGCCCTTAGTTGCTACTAACAGTACTGTGTATAGGCGACATTCCGCGACAAGCTTGACCGCAGCTAGAGACTATTGCCGCACGGAACATATTGTGTGCACTAGGTAAATATCCAAGCTTGTATTTTAAATATTCTATTACCGCGCAATGCATTGCTGAAATTTAAATGGGGATTCTCATGTGCATAAATGGTTTGGATATTTAATGTAGTAGGCTATTTATACCAAATAAGTTTTGACAGCATGCAAGCATACGTTACTACGCTGGTTCGCATACAAACGAACTTTGCGTATGCGATATTCTGTATAACTGTTATTAATTAATGTCTGGTTATCATCTGTAAACAACTTGACCTTGCGCTTAATTTAGTCGTTTGCGCGTCAAAGAGTATAAGCAATAGTGTACAATGGAATCTCTTGTGTTTAGCTTAACATAAAATATGTATCCAGTAGCTGAAACTCAACAAAACTGAGACGGTGACCAATGACATTGCCTATGATATTATTATCGAAGCCAGGCCATTTATTGCAATCTTCGTTTACTCTCAGTTTAGAGCCGTGTTAATAAAACGGATGCATGCATTATGTGTTTATATGTCCTTAACCACCCATACATATAGTTCGTCCGTGGAGAGATTTACAACATCTGTAACGTTGTTGCAAATAAACACGCGCTGAATATTTTGATGGGTATAGTTGCAGATGGTGCATTGATTAATTTGACATAACGATGATAATTTGTACTAATAACTGAAGGCTTTCTAACGAATAAACCCGAATTTTGATCTGCAAAATGCAAATGTATATATGTATATAAAGTATAAAATAATGTGATTTAGGTAGTTTAGCTAATAAATTTAGTTAAACATTCAAATGAAGGTATAGCTATTTATATGTACACGCATACTTGCGCCAACACATGTTAGGTGTTTGAAAATATTTCCTATTAGTCAATAATATCTTGCGTCAATCATATGCGCAACAGGCGTTAAGACTAATTCGTTAAAACCGTTCATAAACATAAATCGTTCAAACGGCTTCAGATTGAACGTTTATTTATCCGTTCGTATTCTCGACTTTAAACGTTCACATTTTTAGCTGAATTCGTCAAAACGTTTTTTGGGTTCGTTGAAACGTTATGACAGATCGTTCACTACCCGTTCGTTATCCGTTCGTTTTGCCGTTTCAACGAAATATCGTTAACGTACGTTTTCCCGTGGAAGGTCACATTTAAGAGTTTTGCGGCGCTGTTTCTCATTCAATTCATATCAAAATTAGCAAGTGATTGTATTTTATTTAATTCTAGACATTCCTAGGTAATTACTTTCTACGTCAGGCTCTCTCAAACGTTCAAAACTACCCTCAAATCATATTTGACTTCAAAGATGGCGGCCGTTAGCGTTCTAGGTTTTATTACAATTCATTGAAAATAACCAATTGCAAAAAGCCATCACAACATTCCTTTGAACTTCAAAATGGTTTTTGAATGGGTAAATTTGTATTTTGATAAAACAAATCTCACCTCGGCTGCGATTCCTGCAAATTGTACAAAGTACTAAAAGTACTAAAAGTACTAAAAGTCTAAAACATCTGGCGTTCATACACTAGTAGATTTCGTAATGTTTTGATGTTTTGAATGTTGAAAATTAAACATTATACTTAAAAATTAAATTCATAAATTGCTTGTTGATTGCAGCAGAAAAACGAGTGAAGTTTACTACACTTCATTTTACAGTTTACTGCATTGTATAGAAGTCTCACGCAGTTATACATTTTGACATTCCTCGCTCACTTACATCCTTTAAAAAGAGAACGATGCATTTCAAGTTGCAACTCGGTAACTTAATTTACACAATCTCGCGTAAGCGGAAATTGACGAATCATGTAATGCATAATTATTTAGTCTCCCGCCCACGCAAATTCAGTGTTGTGTCAACAGTCGAGTTCGGCGTTACAGCAACAGCAATACTGACCACAAAACGTAGGGTTTAATTTACGAGGCTCAATTTAATATTTGGGTATTGATATGGCAAGCACTTACTCAATAGCCCAGAGTTTTTTATTAGCTGTCTGCATATATGTTCTTTACAAAATTGTGAAATACTTCACCAGTGAAACAAATGAAATACAAGCAAGATCTCGTTCAAACAAACGTCGCCTTGGAGTTTCTGAAGAGTGTATGGATATTCTTTCTACGGAGAAACCTGGTGCATCGAATATATGCTTAGCGATATCAATAAAGTCAGAAGAGTGCTTAGTTCGACAGCATGTTTGCGACGCTTTGATACTCTTGGCCAAACGTCAGCCAATGCTTCGAGCAGTCATAACAACAGTCACGAGTGGGGATAAATATTTCGAAATCAAGGATATCAATGAAGTCATTACAATGTTAGATATTACAACTTCTGATGTCAAGGCTTCAGACTGGCAAGATGTCTGGTTTGAATACACAGCAAGACAGAGCGGAAATGGTCTGTTATGGCGAGTTGTAATATTAAAAGAAGAGTTTATATTCGACACTCGGGAATATATGAATACGTTAATGTTTAACTTTGAACACTCTTGTACTGATGGCGTGTCTTCAATAAAGTTTTGCAAACAGTTTCTCCACAATATGAACGAACTCGCGAACGGTACCAGCGGTGTTGATCAGGAAATCTCAAGAAGCAAATCGTTGGAATTGTTGCCAGAAGTCCATGAGATTGTCACACGCGGTCGAATTTGGCATGCATTGTACAATCTGTTGTTAACTTATTGCTGCCTAAGACCGATATTAAGATTTTGTATGAAGAAAATTTTGCCTCAAATAATGGAAAAGAAACCGAATAATCCGTATCACGAACAATTCCCACCAGATCAAAAATCCATTAACACGCGTGCTCCATGTCGCTTGAATGTAAAGGTATTCAGTGAGAAGGAAACCAGTGATATTATTCAAACATGCAGGGCAAATAATTGCACAGTAACTGCAGCTGTCATAACAGCGGCACATTTGGCATTCTGCAAACTTTTGGATAGTGAAAAATCAAAAGATTCGAAAATAGACTATCTATTCGCTATCGATGGTCAGCGCTTTTGTGATCCCAAACCAAACAAAGATTATCTGGGACATTTTGTGTATATTCAACAAAATTGTCACATGAAGTACACCGCAGGCGATTGTTCTGACTTTTGGAAACTCGCCAAAGATACTACCGAGGAAATTAAAACTTGTGTCAAGGGAAGGGGATGTGTAGCAGAACTGACTGTAATAAGTGGATTAATGAAAACAATCGAATTGATGAAATTATTTTTCAATGACAAACTATTTCCTAAATCCAGCTGCAATTTCATCTCAAGTTTCGGGTCTTTTAACCTGGAAAATGACGGAAATTATAAACTCAACGCATGTTTCATAAATAATCTTGTGCATGGTTCAAATTGCACATTTTCTCATTTCATTCATACAATTAACGGGAAAATGACCTGGCAAATTGCAAGTAATCTTACAGTTTACAGTGAACACGCAGATGCGTTTGCAAATCGTTGTTACGATAAACTTATCGAAGTGTCGCGTAGTTGAGATTCAATGCGTTCGGAAAATACGAGTTAACACATCAATTTACTTTCGTCAAAAGCTGCTGTAGTCAAAATGATATTGCTATGTTTACACTATGAGAGTTTAAACAGAATTTTTGTTCTCTGAACGCAGGGATTAGTCTTCATTGCCTTGGAATGGTAGAGTTGTTTATTGCAATGAGCGTGTATCGAATATGCCATATGCCATGCCATCATATTATAGTCTTACAAATACAATTTCAGAACAGCTAGCATGCATGCATGCATGAAAGCTGTATCTCTCCTTTTAATTCCTTTGTAAAAAGTTGCGTACAATTACATGGCTGCACTTTAACTTAAAATTAAACCATTCATCGAATTATCAGCATGTATTGTGAAGAAGGGATTGTGTGTACGTTGCTGAAGCTTTTCTTGTCAAGCTAAAAAAAACAAACACAAGTCAAAGTTATGTGCTTGATTTGCAACTTTAGTCACAAAAATTATTTGAATAACACATAAACAATAACAAACACAGTCAGTCATGTACATATATATTATGTATCAATTTTTTAATCACTAGCTTACATGCTGAGACATTTGAGAGCAAATACTCCTATTATAGCAGCCATTTATATAGTGTCGTTGTATAAGGATTAAATATTCAGTCGAATTTGTGCCGGGATGAAATATGCCGTAAATGGCATGATGGATACCAGGAGGCAATTTTATTCGCTAATTGGAAAACCAATATGGTTGACTGCGCATGCTCTGAAATCATCTTGTACATGCTCTTGATAACAATGAAAAACGCAACTTTGTTGTAACTGCATGTGTTCAACGTCATTTAACAAGAGAAATTATTCCCCTATATATTTACAGAAGAAAGTTTTCAAAATTTGTGGCCTGGTGGCTTGTACTCGCGTTTGTAGCAAAGAAACTGGATTTCGTAGTCTTCACATGGGTTTTGCTGTTTACACAAGCGAATCCCGTCGATGAACATCGATAGGAAGATCTAATTTGCTGATTTGCCTCATACCAGGGTTTATTGCTGCTCTTTACTCTGCAGTTTGCACCAACTGGCTCAAAACCAGCTTTGCAAGGAGGCTGCACGAGCAGAAAGTGAGAGAAAAATTCAATAATTGGTTACTGGATCTCACTTGGTTTAGATTCGTTACTAAATTTAGTGAAATTACAAAGATAAGTATGTAAATATTTGTAGAAACCCCTCGCCTCTTTATCTAATTTATATGTATATATATATATATATATATATATATATATATATATATATATATATTAATATATATTACACAACATATGCAATTCTAATTAGATCTCGAGTATCTATCTATATATCTATCTGCGGCCAACGTTTTTGCAAATGGGTGTATATATATATATATATATATTAATATATATTATATATATATATTATATATATATATATATATATATATATATAATATATATTGTAATATATAATATATATACACTAATTTGTAGTAAACATTCTTATAACTTACATTATTGTCTCTATCGACAAAACCAGAATACAATTCCCAGTCTCCTGATGCAGATGGGTCATCGCGATCGAGCCAATGAGTCCAATAAATGTTGACATCGGCAGGAGCTGAAAATATTCCAGATGATGTAAACATTGAAACATTGATAACAGTCATACACTTGCTTTTGGACAACGTAATTTTTAATCATTATAATGCAGATTTTGATTTGATAATTTGAAATTAACAATATTAATTTAATCCCATCGAATATTATCCGTAAATACTACATAACTATGTAGTTATAAGTAAAACAAATAAGCATTTTTATCATATATATCATTTTATAACGATGGCGCAGTCGAGCGTTTTAGAATTAATAAATCGCGAGTTAAAGTGTGGATTGTAAAATATTTTAAATACACCGCATCCTTGTCGACCAATACATTTGCTCCATGTGTACAATGCTAATTAGGAGGAAACATTTATATAAATTATAATAATGAACGTGACAAATTACAGGGGCAAAAGTTCAGTCAATAATTGGTCGCGTCGCATAGCGACAGCGACCTATAGTTTCGGCTCGGGTTTTTCATTATTATTTTCCTCTCGGGTCGACCCCCAGCGTTGCTAGCTGCAGGCCATATTTACCCTAATCGGGAACCTGCGCACAGGTAATTTGCTAGTTATTATTATCAAGAAAGCGATCAAAATGCTAGCAAACGCTTTCCTCATCTTTACGTTCATACACATATATACAACTGCACACGCCGAGCACAGTAAGCCTACACCGGCTACCCGAAGTACAAGATGTAGAGCGCGGTTTTGAAATGGGCTGTTGTGTGTTTCTCCTGCTTTCAACATGCGACCTATAGTTCGGTATATTGTTTATTTTCATTATTAAGAACATTTACGACACAAAATTTGCATATATAGCTGGGCTGGCTACGCCGCTGTGAAGGACGCGACCATAACGCCTAGTAGGCGTCTTGTTTTTCTTAAATTGTGAGTTGGATATGTTGATATGAACTTACGCCCATTATGATATAGTAATGCCTCCCATATCTTTTCGGTTAATTCGTATAGTTAAAATTGTAAAAAAATGCGAATTTTTTGTATACTGAAGATGGCAAAATCTCTACTTGTTACTTACGTTTGTAACACAGGAACTGGATTTCATAGTCCTTGCAACTTTGAGTTTCGCTGTTTACGCATGCGAATCCCCTTGGTGTACATCGGTTCAAAACAGAAATGTTTTGATTTGCTTCATACCAGAGTATATTGCTTCCCTTTACTCTGCAGTTTGCATCAACAGGCTCAAAACCCGCTTTGCAAGGAGGCTATACAATAAGAAACCCAGTGAAAATATTTCAATACTCTTTAGCATGAATAAATTACTATATATATATATATATGCATGTTGTTTGGTTGAGATATATTTTGTATTGCACTACAATATTTAACAGTTATTCTGCGAACTCGAGTCGTATATGAGCTGATAGTCTGTCGCCATTTCGGTGCATTTTGGTGTGCTATTATCAACTAAAGCTTGGATTTCTATTTCATTCAACTCCCCAAATCTTTCAGCCATTTTGTTTACTTTCTCTACTAGACAGATATGAGCTAATATTATCTGTCTAGTAGCCAACCAATGAAATTGCAGCATACCTCATATCTGGCGCTTGTGTATATAGTAAAAATAATATTATATATGTTTCATCTCAAAATGAAAAGAAAAACGTTGAAAGGTTTTTTCGCACACAAACAAGAAACTCTAGAGGAACTGGAGGCCAGGATCAGGGGCGTAACTAGTTACTATAATTTTGCGGTGAATATTGATATATTCAATTCTGCCCGACGGATAATTACTATTGCACTTACAAAAGAAGTCCGTCGGGCAGAACTGCATGGATATATTAATATTCTCACCGCCCCACAAACCCACTTATCGTTCTGGTTACGCCACTGGTCAGGATGTCAAACAAGGGCCTTAGAAAAGGCACTGAAAGGCTGGACCGAACAAGAAATTCTGCATCAAAATTATGCCACAAAATACCTACATAGATTATGGTCCTCAAAAATATTAATTTCATGCACAAATACCCATTGAATTAGGGATTATTAGTACTCGTAACTTTTATTTAATCTTGCTATGCTATAATATTTTGGTGTTTATTAATGTGAAAACAATGAATTTCTAAGGAAATGAATAGTGATAATACATAAACTTTCCATAGCATATGACTAAATGTTCAGGCTGGCTATACGGAACTGTGCCTATATAGCCTATAGCCGTGCTGGATTAAAGCATGCAAATCATAGCCTATACAGCTACATCATTTTAATTCAAATTCGAACTCGTGACGATAAATACATGTTATATGACATAGCATGAGAGGTAGCATCCGATATATTTTTTAGTCGAAAGACTCTTTCGCAAGTCAGCACGTTTTTCATCAGTCGCTGGTGATCGACGAGAACTTTCTAATCAAGCGGCTAATTCTACTCTGCGTTGCATTGTCAGTTGAACTGCCTACTTCATACACTTTCAATACGGCTATTGTTAGTCAAAAAGCTAATATCGTAAACATGCAATATTAACGTACGTAAAAAAGGTCATTCTTCCTAATTCCTAAACGACACTGCATGATAATCATAAAAGTCTTTGTTCAATTAAAAATATAGCCTGCATTATAAAGTTCGCATATACAGTATAATGTATTCGCATTGAAGCGAATTATTGTTGAATGTGTCCTGTTTTACACGAAGAGGGCCGGATTCGCATGGTCACCATATCAAAATAGCGGCCATGTCAAAGCGATTTTTACCCCTAGAAGTACGATGTCATAATTTCTTTAGCATGATATGCTAAATGAAAACGTCTTAGGGACATGCAAGGATGCCGTATAAAACAACTTAAACTGATGTCGTGATCCCGAGAATATAATTATTCTATAATTATCTTAAATTACATTCAAATTGTGTTTAGTAACTTTACATTTCCGGCAACAAAGCTAGAAAACATGTATTTTAGTTTTTGAGGATACCTTTCTTTTGTCGCACAAAAACAACAAGAAATCGCGGGATAGTCAAATATTTTTTTATCAAACTTTCAACACTGGAAAATCACCAGACTTGCATTGCATAGTAACGTACCCCATGCTCTTCTTTCGCAAAGCTGTGATAGAGCTCCCAGTCCCCCGACGCAGATGGATCATCCCGGTCAAGCCAACTAGTCCAATAACTCTCTGCACGAGCTGAAAAACGAGAACATTTTATTAAATTAAACACTAAAGATGTTAATTGACAGGCGGATATGACTAACTGGGCCAAAAAACGTGAAAGTCAATACTCAAAATATCACACTCTAGCATGAAAAAGTTGAATAGATTGTTGAGAGATTTTTAGGGCTATCATATGTATGCTTTTTAAAGGATAATATAATGAACCTTTAAATACACCTGGAACAAAGAACTTTTGAATAGAAAACAATAAATATTTTATTCTCCATGAACTTTATTCTGCCGTATTTTTAGGGAGATTTTATTAGAATGAGAACTATTGTGGTTATCCTTCTATATATATCTTTCATATCAAACATGTCCATGCACTAACACTTGCTATATGATTTATGCTCAGGGGCGCCGGAATATCGATAATAACGGGGGCAGATATTCATATATTCGTGTTCTGCATTATTAACTCTTTTGAAATCGATTGTTTTTACGATCTGCGAACACGAATATATGAATATCTGCCCCCGTTATTATCGGTATTCCGGCGCCCCTGTTAATGCTTTGCTTATATGGCATAAAACTAGATGCAATAATTAAGGATAAATACTTTCAGTGTGATCTGTATTCACGTATTCGTCCTGCCCGGTGGATTCTTTTGTACGGATACACTGATATGTTTTAAGTAAGTGAATAAATAACTGAATATTCATGGCTCTGAGTAACAAACCAGTTATATTTAACTGAAAAATTAGCGTGACCATGCACGATAGGAATCGAACAAGTTAGCTTTGGTTTCCTAGTTCAATTTCAATCGTGATCAAACTAGTTTTTCAGCTTTAGTTACCCGGTTGAAGACTCAGTATAGCATCATCACCATATTAATTTCATTCAATATACACCTGAGTCTTATGCATGATTACTCTTCACGGCTCGCTTGAATTTTTGCACTAGTTACGGCCACGTTTTGATCATGTTGAATATTTATATTTATTTTCTCCCCCTTGAATAAAAAAGCAGACTATATAGAACATAAATTTGAATGCTTACCGGAGACTAAAAAACTGGTGAGAATTATAACTTCGAAAATAATTTTCATTTCCAACGTATGCAACAATCACTTCTTAAAACAATTAAGACAAAAAACATTAAATTTACATGTCATGTCGGTCATTTTTATATCATTGAGAATTAAAAGTTGGCGGTTTCGAGACAAGATTGGACAATGACTGTCAATATAATTTTTTTATAACATATTTTGGACCTCGCTTTGCGGGTTGGTGGGAAACAAGTTACAATTAGAAGAGGGGGGAGGAAGTGATAATGCAAATACCGTACTACATTGCATTGAAGAGATTCGTGAGACTGAGGAGGGGGCTTATGCTAAATGATAAATCATTTAAAGTATAGATACCGCATTCCAATGCCATTACAACCGTAATTATATTTCCGAGGTTTCAAATACGTTTTAGGTCATGTTTAAACTATACTGGATTAACCGGAACCGAATGGTCAAGTCATCAAAATTAGCCATGTCAAAGTGAGTTTTACCCTTAAGCACAAAAATAATAATGATACCACGATTGCTTAATATGATCAGCTAAATGAATGATTCTGGAGAGATAGATACCCTAGAACAACTAAACCTGATTTTTTAACTGTGCATGTGAATCTGGCGGGAACGCACACCTTCCCTCCCCCCCCCAAATTAAGCTTTTAGCTACGGCCCTGGAATCCGGTATAGTGTAATACGGTATCCGATAGTGTAAGACGGTATCCACGGTATTCGAGTCACAAATTGAGTTGATATTCGAATGAGGAATGCTACATGATCCATTACGATTGGTTCATTTAACCGCAAAAACACGTTCTAGCTTGAGCTGGAATATTTCAATGCAAATAGTTTAATTTTCAATTGAAGTGCATATTTAATGCATAAGATGTAGCTATAATATTGTATAGGTTCAATCATTAAAAAGATGTCTCAATGTATTTTTGAACTTTAACTATTCCACAGCCTAAACTATAAGCGCTTTTCGAGCAACCGACACTTGGCATGAGGTGCAGCATCTGAAGAAGAAATAGAAATTGATAAACTTCATACCTTTTAATAATGAAAACTGAGATTAACCAGCTGGTGACCCTGTTACGAATTCCAGGTTCAACGATCTGACTAAAGACATCACAAGACAGCTCAACTTTATATGATTGAAGTGCAGGGGAAATAAGTAATGTCACAAGGAGAATATATTCGTGCATATAATCCGGAAACATAGCTTAAGTCCCTGAGTACCTCCTTATGATATTATTCCTCATACGTAAATGAACTTTTCAGCACATTTATAATTATAAAAAAACCTTCACGCAGACGTACACAAAAGTATATCGGCTAAAATAAACACTGACAAAAGGCTCGAATTAAGCAGTTAATTATATTTTTTATTATACACATGCATAATAAATTATAAGCACTTTCATCTAGAGAAACCAGAGAGAACTGGTTTAAACGATGAGGCACGAGGTAAGAGATGCAGCACTTGCTGTGTGAGACCGCAGGAGCAAACGAATTATATCACGTGAAGATCTTAAGTTATTTAATTTATTGCAAATCACTAGTTTTGTATTACAATTTTGAGCTGTAGTGATTTATTCTGCCTGTAACCCTGAGTCCGACAATGGAACATATGAAAAATTGGAATATGGTTGCTGGGGAAATAAAGATAATACAATCCTGAACCAAGTATCATTTGCATGTCATTTTATGCCGAATCGCCTCGCTTCAAAATATTTACATCAGAACTTGTTGTTAATACCAAAGATAAACATATGCAGAAACGATAAAATGTTTGGATTTCGTGAAAATTGAAAGTTTTAAACACAGGGATAGGGAAGTTTAAATCCCAAATTTGTGGTTAGAAAGCTCAAGAGGGAAATTGAAATAGCGTTGCTATATAAGCACTGGCGTTGCCAGTATCAATGAGTAGGGTGGATAAATTCATATTATTCATGTTCATTTGAAAATAAAGAAATAATGTAAAACAGGATTATATAAATATGTTCCCTACACTTATCAAACTGGGGACGATACCATGTTGCTAAGGAAGTAAAGAAATATCCTTAGGTAATAAAGTTTGTTTGTCATAACTACACGCAAATAATCACTGCATGGACGCCGGAACTGAGGGGGCAGCTATCGCACATGCGTTATGCCAGAAGCTAGTGGCAAGAGAAGCAAAATATGCTCTTTTAATTTAAACTATTGCATTTACTTTGCTAATGAATTGCTTTAGGCAACGCTAGAAATGAAGCCAATAAAGCCTCACGAATACCCATTCGTCTGGCAAAAAAACACCCAGACACCGACATCTATGACGCCAAAATGTAATAAAGATAAATCGTGATGAGCCGAAGTTTGATTTCTCGTCACTATTTAATATGCGTTAACATACAAGTGCCCTTTGACGGAAATCTGGCCCAGCCCCTTTGCCTTTGCAACGTTATATAAAGACAAGCACAAGTTCGTTAATAAGGACAAGCGGTAATTAGCAGGAGGGAGGGGGGGGGGGTGGTGAGCGTGAATTTATATCTTATGTTCTGGCCGACGAATTTACTTTCAAAGAGCATATACATATAAAAGAACAGTGGCGGATCTAGTTGTGGGCAGAATGAATATACTACAACTTAAAATCGGAATTCGATCGCATTGGTAGATTTTAATGTAAAAATATTCTTCTCAAATCTATAACCAATAGCGTTGTTATTAAGGTGTTTTGAATTCAAAATTAAGCGGTGTAATTTATTCTGCACACCCCCTAAATCCGCCACTGTAAAATAAATATGTCGGCCGCAGCAAATATACTTTCAACCCGGTATACATCTCCCAATTTACTATTCTGGCCCTGTAAGTAAAATAATTTCCGAACACAAGTTATCATTTTTTTTTTTTTCTCTTATATATGACATCCTTCGCAAAGGATTCATTGGGATATTGTAAAGCTTAGGTTTGTAATCAATATGTTTATAACTATGGTGTCACATTGAAATTTAAGTAAATTAGGATTATATATGACACAAGTTTATAGCTCAGCAAGACTTACAGATGCATACAGTATATTCCTCTAGATATAACAAACTGTCTTTTCCGTACGCAAAATGGTGCATTAATCTAGGGGTTTTTTTTTAACAGTAAAAACAGCCTGACCGGTCCTGTTGAATTTCAGTACTGCAAAATTAGCCAAATTACCGTTGTAAAATAATGCGTTAAAATCTCTGCATTCATGTAGCTATATCGTTAGCAACTTACATGCACTCACCAAGCAAGGGAACTGATTAACCAATTTGACTATTTTAGACGCTTGAAGGAAAGGACCCCCTACCTTTACTTCTACAGACTTTAATTTTAAGAACGAGAAACTTCGATGAGTTTAACGTGGCAATTACTTGCAAATGTCTCAGCGTGTTCAGTGTGTACTGTAAGATTACTAGCAATCTGCCAGGTCATTTTCCCATTAATGGTGTAATTAAAATGAGAAAATGTGAAATTGAAGCCATTAAGATGGTTATTTACGAAACATTCATGGAGTTTATAAACTCCCTTATTCCCGTCGTCAAAATTAAAAGACCCGAAACTTGATATAAAATTGCAGTTCGATTTCGGAAATAACTTTTCATTAAAGAATAAATGAATAATTTCTACTGGCTTCATTATTCCACTCTTTACGGTCACCTCTGTTATAAATTCTGCTTTTTTAACGTCAGTTTAATCTTCTCGGTAGTTTCTCTTGCCAGCTGCCAAAAGTCAGCATCGTTGCCACTGTACTTCATATAAGATTCTTCATGCGCATACAAAAAATTCCCTAGGTAATTCTCGTTCGGTTTGGGATCACAAAAGCGCTGACCATTGATAGTAAATGGGTAGGATATCTTTGCGTCTTTCGATTTTTCACCATCCAGAAGTTTGCAGAATGCCAAATGTGCTGCTGTTATGATAGCTGCGGTTACTGTGCAAGCATTAGCCCTGCACGTTTGAATAATATCACTCGTTTCCTTCTCACTGAAGACCTTTACATTCAACCGACATGGAGCACGAGAGACGTTTGCTTCTGGATTTGGCGGAAATTGTTCGTGATATGGATTATTCGGCTTCTTTTCTATTTCGCGAGCGAACATTTTCTTCAAACAAAGTTTCAATATCGTTCGTAGGGCGCAAAAAGTCAACAGAAAATTAAACAATGAATGCCAAAATTGACCTTGTGTGACAATCTGGTGGACTTCTGGAAGCAAATCTAAACTTGAGATTTCCTGGTCAACACTGCTTTTACCGTTCGCAAGTTCGTTCATGTTGGCGAGAAACTGTTTGCAAAACTTTATTGACGACACGCCATCCATACACGAGTGATTAAAGTTAAACATGAACGTATTTGCATATTCCTGACTGTCTACAAGTTCTTCTTGTAAAATCACAACTCGCCATAACAAACCATTTCCTTTTAGTTTTGCAGTGTATTCATACCAGACATCTTGCCAGTCGGAAGCTTTGACATCAGAAGTGGAGATATCCAAAATTGTAATGACTTCATCGATATCCTTGATTTCGAAATATTTATCTCCATTCGTCGCTGTTGTTATTACAGCTCGAAGCATTGGCTGACGTTTGGCCAAGAGTATCAAAGCGTCCCGAACATGTTGTCGAACTAAGCACTCTTTTGACTTTATTGATATCGCTACGCATATATTCGATGCGCCAGATTTCTCCGCAGCGAAATCGTCTAAAATATCTTCGAAATATCCAAGTTGACGTTTGCTTGAACAAAACTTAGCTGGTTCACTTGTGATGTATTTCACAATTTTGTATAGAAGATATATGCAGACTAACGATAAAAAGCCTTGGTGTATTAACTCCGAGCTTATCATAATACTTCTGGCAGTGAGTAGAGTTATCAAATAATCGTAGCCCAAACTTGAGGTAAAGCTTTCAGTATTTCTATGAATAATAGTAACTGTAACTCACGCTCAGCAGAGACAATAGACCTTTCTTATAATGACGTCAAACGCGGAGAGTCTGATGTTACACGAATTTTAATTGGCTTCACAAAACTATCGAGCCAATCAAACTTCGTGTAACATAAGACTTTCCACGTTTGACGTCATTATGAAAAAGGTCCATTACGTGGGCTTATGTATCGTCCGAGCGTAATATTCGAACAATTACCGGATATTATAAAAAAAGCAGGGAAATAAATTTTGGCTTTGATCAATAAAGGTGATAACAGCGCTTAGCATTTTCAAAGTAATTCCTAGTATCATTAACACTTTGGGTAACTAATTAATACAATTACAGAAGAATGCTAAATGGAATTTGCGTGCCACAAAGTGATTAGCCTCCTCTGCAGTTATCTCTAAAATATGCATATTTGGTTGGGCTAGCTGTGTCGGGGGAGCGAGAAAAATATTGAGGAGATACCTACCATTAATCGATCAAATGGACGCCTCATGTAACCTTACTGGACCCCATATGGAATGAGGTTTCCCTTGGGCTTGGTAAGGCTTTATTCAAAACGTGGCTCAGTAACCTTCGAAAATTTCGGTTTATAGGTCACTGGCGTTTGCCAGCTGAGTATACCTCGATGTGGAATATATCTGAGTATATAAGATGTGGAAAAAAAACAGCTAGATGATGCAGAAATTTTAAGAACACAATTAGGCGAGCTTGATGCGGATATTGAAGTGACGAAAGACAAAATGCAAGAAAGATGAAAGATCGGAAAAGGAATCGCACCGTTCACACGCACGAAAGATCTCTATTGAGATCAGCTAGAAAAAAGGAGCTTAATTTCTATTCCACTAGCTACTATTTTGACTTGTTTGTTGACTTGTTTTTTACGGCTTTTATGGTAATGTGCATTATTAATTCCACTCGCTGACATTTAAAATGACATTTAAAAACGTACGACACGCATTATATATAGTATATCATAAGCAGCCCAGACATGTTTTCGTTCTCGTGGCGCTCGCGCGTGTACACGAGTCTACTTGGTCTATTATTATGACAAGGTTGGCAAGTTTTTTTACTAAAATATACTACAACGTTTGCTACGGCCTGAATATCTTGCAAATTACAAATAAAAATAATAAAAAAATTACATCGGTTTAAACGCCGGTAATTTGACTACATTCTCCCGAAGTTTTAACTTCAAGCGTAATAAACGTAATTAAGGATGCAAAAAAAGCAAATGTGTATCGATATTTTGACAAAATTTTGTCAAGACTATGCTAGTGGCACCTACCCTGTTGTGTCGTCATAATTTTGAATTGCAAACAAGAAACTGATTGGCTGTTGCTTTTTCAGTTGGAAATTTCGCACGCAAGAGCCAATCAGTTTTCTGTTTGCAATTCAAAATGATGACGACACCACAGGGTAGGTGCCACTAGCATAGTCTTGACAAAATTTTGTCAAAATATCGATACACATGTACGTTTGCTTTTTTAGCATCCTTAAATTTAACGTTTGAAGTTAAAACTTCGGGGGAATGTAGTCAAATTACCAGCGTTTATGCCGATGTAATTTTTGTATTATTTTTATTTGTAATTTGCAAGATATTCAGGCCGTAGCAAACGTTGTAGTATATTTTAGTAAAAAAACTTGCCAACCTTGTCATAATAATAGACCAAGTAGACTCGTGTACACGCGCGAGCGCCACGAGAACGATTATGATTAATTATTTGAAACACTTATATATAATTATATAATTGATGAGCAATTTAGCTTTTAGGTATGTACATCACGTAAATATTTAATACTAGAAAACTTTCGATCTAATACTAGATAAAAAATATATAAATAATTATTTTTTTTTTTTTTTTTTTTTTAATAATGCTAATAATAATGCTAATATAATAATAGATAAATAATAATGCTACAGTTTACTCTGATTCGTTTTTCTAAAACCTCTACAGCTCTTTTAAAACCAGGTTACAGTCGCTTCTGCGCATGTCCCAGTTTTGTGTACGTTTTTCTGTGATGATACACTTTATTCATTTAACACCAAGTACCTTGTATACATCAAATTATACTTATGTCGAAAATAGAGTGAAACCAAAAGAACTACAGTACAATAAATCATATTTTTACGTCTCTTGAAGGCGAAATTGTACTATTGCGAAACCGTTTCTGGAACTTTAATTACTGTCTGTCATTACATACATCTATTATCACAGCTGAGCGTCTTCTCAATGCCGAAAGTACGAAGGTGTGAGATCGAATTATATCAAATCAATTAATCCGAATCCATTGAGCGAAGTCATCGAACTGCTACATCATATTTGGCATGATGGAAAGTACGGATTGCGGAGTCGGAGTACGGGCTCAGAGTACGGAGTCTTATTACGGGATGTTTAGTAATTAAGGAGTCTGCACTAGACTCCGCATTTTCCACCTTGCTGGGGTGCTCAGTGTAAAACACGAAGTCTGTGTTAAAACTTAACTTTTCCCCTCCCCCGCATGGGGAAAATGCGGAGTCCAGGGCAGACTTCGTACAAAGACTCCGTATAATAAAACTCCGTACTCCGACTTCGCAGTCTGTACTTTCAACCATACCCTTATATTTTTTAGTTTTGCCGTTAACGACTCTAAAGTGTTATAATATATGTTTTTAATTATGAAACCTCTTGTGCGGTATATCTATCCCCCAAACATCATGGCAGTATTGCTTTTGCAGTCATGGCTGAAGTAATGGATGAAAGTCTTGCGCTTGACGAATTCGAATCATGTTTTATTGAAAATGCTGCCGCACAGCTAAACGTTGGCAGGGTAACAACATGCAATTGTAACGATCATTGCCTGCGAGAAAAAAGACGAAACTTTTGCCGATGCCGAAGCATAATAATTTAGCATTACCATGATGAAAGTAGCAGTAGCAAATTGTTCAAATTATGATTAATTATTTGAAGCACTTATATATAATTATATAAATGATGAGCGATTTAGCTTTTAGGTATGTACATCACGTAAGTATTTAATACTAGAAAACTTTCGATCCGTTAACCCTGGCCTTCATCAGTGCAATATTGTGCAAACATACAAGAATAATATAATAAAAAAAATAATATATAATTGCTCCGGATAATTTGATCATTTTGTTACTGCTACTTTCAATATGCGTTGTAAACCAACTCTTAACAGGATTTATAGATGAATGTACCTTGTTTTATACATAAATTGGACCTCCAGAGAATACTCTAAAATCGATCCTCTAACATATCTTTGACATGATGCGCTATTGACAGGGTATTCTATAATTATTCCGCAACATTTCATAATGACATAATATTATTATCTTTAAAGTAATGACATTTTAATTTTTTCTATAGATAAAGAAAGTTTCAAAATGAGATTTAATACAGTGAAACAACAGACACACAGTTTCAGTGATATGAATTGATGACATGCATCATGACATTAATATTTGAGATAACATCGGGTACATAATATGCAAGGTGATCAGAGCTACATGGAATATACAATCTTTTCATGAAAAAATTATTCATCGAATACATGGACATCAATACAAATTATCAGTACAAACTCAAAAAACAAATATATATAATATATCGCGCAGGGGAAATAAGTAATGCCACAAAGAGAATATTTTTCGTGAATATATTGCGGAAACATAGCTTTCAACTCCTTGAGTACCTCATTATGATATTATTCCTTATATACTTAGGGGTTGAATCTCTGGTAACCTAGCACGCAGACGTACACGAAAGTACATCGGCTAAAATAAACATCGACAAAAGGCAGTTTTAAGCAGTTTTAGGCGAATTAAGCAGTTTATCATATTATTTTTGATGCAGCAATTTTGGTGTGAGACCTGAGAAGCAAACTAATTATGTCATATGAAAACCAGAATTAAGTTTTATTGCAATTCATTGGTTTTGTCACATTGGTTTACCACCGTTCTTCAATACATTGTAAGAATTTAATTGACGATCAAATAAAAATTTTAATTTTAAATTGAGAATACCTTAATAACAACGCTATTGCATGGTCATGAATTTCTAACGAATATTTTTAAAGAGAATCTACCAAATGCGATTACAAATTAGAGCTGTAGTAATTTATTCTGCCTGTAACTCTAAGTCCGCTGATGGATCAAGTGGAAAATTGGAATCGGGTTGCTGAGGAAATAAAGATTATATTCTGAAGCAAATATCACTTCCATGTCATTTTATACCGAATCGCCTCACTTCAAAACATTTACATCATGGAGCTTGCTGCGAAATTGAGTCAGAGATAAACACATGCTGAAGCGATAAACTGTTTAAAGTTCGAGAAAATCGAAGTTCTAAATAGAGCGATAGCGAAGTTTAAATCCCAAATTTATACTTTGTGAATGATTTGCTAGAAATGATGCAAATAAATAGCCTCACGAATTCGTCTGACAAAACACACCCAGACACCGACATCTATAACACCGAAATTTAATACTGAAGATAAATCATGAAGAGCCGAAGTTCGATTTCTCGCCAATGTTTTTCAGCGCTAGCTATATTTAATATCCGTTAACACGCAATTGCCCCTCGGCCCTGTAAGTAAAATAATTTCTACATACAATTAAGTTGAACTTTAAAGTGCCTATATCACTTGTGGGATCTTTACGGATTTGAATAGAGCTTGAAAAATTAGTTTTTAAGTTCTACAACCCTTTCTGATTTAATTAAATAGTTTCGAAAATACGTCGGTTGGGAGGACTGGGACTCAGGAATGATTTGCAAACACGCCGTCTTTTATAATGTAAACATGAAAAGTTTCACTGGCGATATAGTTTGCGCTTTTCAAGAAAAAAATGCGGGAACAGTGCGTTGTGTATGGCTGTAGCAACTAGGCAAGTTTTTCTCAAAATATTTTACGTTATTGGAAGATCGAAGTAAAATTAAAATTGATTATATTATGTTTGACAAGAACTCGGTTCCTGAGTCCCAGGCCCCCGAGCACGACGGAAATTTAGGCAAATCGTCATGTTTAGATGTAAATATTTCCGAAACTATTTAATTATATCAAAAAGGGTTATAGAACTTATGAACTAATTTTTCAAGCTCTATTCAAATCCGTAAAGATCCCACAAGTGATATAGGCACTTTAAGAAGGAGTCAAGTCAGTCAACAACTATAAAATCGACAATATATCTCGGTATAAAAGTAGTATATTCAGGTCTAAAATAACTAACGTACAAACGGCAAACCATTTAAAAGAACTAATTACAATAATACCTAACTAAAACCAATTAAATGTTAAGAATAATTAAAACTAATTGTTCGATGTCCAAGTTCATAAATCCGTTAGAACTTATAGTACAAAACACATAAAGAGTAGGCCAAAATTAGGCAAATTACTGGTATCATATAGTGCGTTTTGAAATATCTGGATAAAACTTCGTTTACACTACACTCGATTTATTGGCACAGCACGGCTAAAATGGGTACCCATGCCCATTTCATCTGTGCTTGGGCTCTGTTTTGGTAGCCTGAATACTAATAAAATTGGATACGGGAACCAATTATAGTCGTGCCGTGCCGATAAATCGAGTGTAGTGTAAACGGAGCTTTACATGCACTCACCTAGCCCGGGAAATGCCATTTTGCAGCCCATATATATTTAACGAAAAAGACCGTAAAATAACCGGTTTGCCAATTTTGGACGCTTGATGGAAAGCTCTCCCTACATTTAATTACTTTCACAGGCTTTCATTTTATGTTCGAGTCACTTCGATAAGTTTATCGTGGCAATGATTTGCAAATGTCTCAGCGTGTTCAGTGCGTACTGTAAGATTACTAGCAATTTGCCAGGTCATTTTCCCATTAATGGTGTAATTAAAATGAGAAAATGTGCAGTTGAAACCATTAAGATGGTTATTTACGAAACATTCATGGAGTTTATAAACTCCCTTATCCCCCACGTTAAATTTAAAAGACCCGAAACTTGATATAAAATTGCAGTACGATTTCGGAAATAGCTTTTCATTTACGAATAAATGAAGAATTTCTACTGGCTTCAATAATGCACTCATTACGGTCACCTCTGTTATAAATTGTGCCTTCTTAACATCAGTTTTAATCTTCTCGGTAGTTTCTCTTGCCAGTTGCCAAAAGTCAGCATCATTACCGCTGTACTTTATGTAAGAATCCTCATGCTCATACACGAAATTCCCTAGGTAATTGTCGTTCGGTTTGGGATCACAAAAGCGCTGACCATTGATAGCAAATGGGTAGGATAACTTCGCGTCTTTCGATTTTTCACCATCCAGAAGTTTGCAGAATGCCAAATGTGCCGCTGTTATGATAGCTGCGGTTACTGTGCAAGCATTAGCCCTGCACGTTTGAATAATATCACTCGTTTCCTTCTCACTGAAGACCTTTACATTCAACCGACATGGAGCACGAGAGACGTTTGCTTCTGGATTTGGCGGAAATTGTTCGTGATATGGATTATTCGGCTTCTTTTCTATTTCGCAAGCGAACATTTTCTTCATACAAAATTTTAATATTGGTCGTACGCCGCAAAAAGTCAACAGAAAATTAAACAATGAATGCCAAATTTGACCGCGTGTGACAATCTGGTGGACTTCTGGCAGCAAGTCTAAACTTGAGATTTCCTGGTCAACACTGCTAGTACCGTTCGCAAGTTCGTTCATGTTGGCGATAAACTGTTTGCAAAACTTTATTGACGACACGCCGTCCATACACGAGTGATTAAAGTTAAACATTAACGTATTTGCATATTCCTGACTGTCTACAAGTTCCTCTTGTAAAATCACAACTCGCCATAACAAACCATTTCCTCTTAGTTTTGCAGTGTATTCATACCAGACATCTTGCCAGTCGCAAGCTTTGACATCAGAAGTGGAGATATCCAAAATTGTAATGACTTCATCGATATCCTTGATTTCGAAATATTTATCTCCATTCGTCGCTGTTGTTATGACTGCTCGAAGCATTGGCTGACGTTTGGCCAAGAGTATCAAAGCGTCGCAAACATGTTGTCGAACCAAGCATTCTTTTGACTTTATTGATATCGCTAAGCATATGTTCGATACGCCAGATCTCTCCGCAGCGAAAACATCTAGAATATCTTCGGAAAATCCAAGTCGACGTTTGTTTGAACAAGACTTAGCTGTTTCCCTTGTGATGTATGTCACAATTTTGTATAGAAGATATATGAAGACGGCCGATAAAAAGCCTTGGCATATTAACTCCGAACTTATCATATTACTCCTGGCAGTCAAAGCTTCCAGTATTTCTATGATTAATCGGAACTGTAACTCAGGCTAAGCAGAAACAATTACGCGGCTTGTGTATCGTCCGAGCGTGTAATCAAAGATTCTAACAATTAAAGCTTACCGGATATTACAAAATTTGCATGGGCTGTCATTAAAACCAGGAACGGGGAATCAAGGAACGAGGAACGAGGAACGGCGAACCGGGAATGAGAACCTCCGGAATCTTTAAAACCTGGAACGAGAATCTCCGGAATCTATAAAACCCGGAACAAGAATCTCCTAAATTTTTAAAATCTGGAATGAGAATCTCCGGAATCTTTAAAACCCGGAATGAGAATTTCCGGAATCTTTAAAACCCAGGATGAGAATTTCCGGAATCTTTAAAACCCGGAATGAGAATTTCCTATACCTATAACAATGCTAATTTAGCTTGTTTATCCAGTGCATACCATGGCCTTTGCCGGTTATTGAAAAAACACCACTTGTTTTGTCAGTAGCTATTTGTTCCAAACAGGTTGACAAGTTTTCACTTTGTTGTATATATGTCATTTTATTTGTCAGTTTAGCTTAGGGTTGTTGAACTGTCACATTAATTTGCATAAGTGTAAGAGATTCAAATTTTTGTGAATATAGCTTCTTCAAGTTATATGTCTGACTTTCATTTCACCACTAAGATATATTTTTTTGGTGTCACCAAGAAATACCTATTGATTTATTTTGCTTTCAGTGCTGTATCATGTGCAGAATTTCATTGCTCGCTAACTATGTACTGCTGACTGGAAATTTTCTATGGCCGATGCTTATCAAGTGTTGCACTTGTTGCACTTAAACACATTGGAGTAGATACTGAAAAACAGGGGTACATAATATACATATACACACCATGGTTTTCAGTGTCTGTACTCCAATGTGTTAAGGTGCAACAAATATGAATTGCACTTGATGAGCCTGCCATAGTTTGTGCTGGGTGAACAATTAATAATCAAGCTTTAGCGCGAGTATCCTTACATGACTTGTTGCCGTGTGAGTTATATAAAATACTCAGGACGCTAATGTAATTTTGATATAATATATTTGAAGAGATGTTCTCTTAAGAGCATAAAGCGAGACTGTGCTTACACAAATTTTACAAGTTATTTTATACCCTGGTTAGTAAAGGCGAGACGGAAAGGCAATTAAGATTAGTGTTAAGCTAATTAAAGAGTGTTAACGCCATTAGGAAAGGCGTGATAATGAGCTATGTTGTCGCCAAGAGGAAACATAAGGTAAATAATATTTGCGGCGAAAAGATTAAACTAGGCGAGTCTATTTCCTAACGGAATTATAAATTAACATCTAAGCGAGGCTATATCCTGAAAGAATTATACAATTAAAGAATGTTGTTAAAAGTTCCTTGCGCGCCGTACGGAAACCACATAATATACGCAAAGTTATTCGGTGACAAGACGCTACAGCAGCCCCCTGCTAGTGCAGAAGTTGATGGATATTAATGATAAACAATGGACACATGACGCGCAGGAAAATATGGACCTGTCGGCCAGATCTTGTCTTTGGTACAGGTGGTTCATCTTGGGTTGTGGAAGTTGTTGGATCTGCAGCTAGACGGCCGGTGGAGTGGAAGGCAACGCAATGTCCGTGTCGAGATGTGCAGGCTTGAGGCGATCGATGGAGACGCTGTCAGTACGAGTGCCGAATTCGACTTTAAAATGTTTCATAGACCGCGAAAGAATTTTAAAGGGGCCATCGCAAGGGGATTGTAAAGGTTTACGTACGGCGTCGCGGCGATAAAAACGTGGGTGCAGGTCTGCAGATCCTTTGGAAGAAGGGTTGTTCGCTGCTGAGGACGGTCTTTTGGAGGTTGTAGATCTTGCACAGTTCTTCTTAGACGGTCGACGTAGCAAGTAGGATCAAGGGAGGAGGATTCAGGTGATTTTTTAAAGAATTCTCCGGGCAGACACAGGGTGGTACCGTAGACTCGTTAAGATACGCTGTGTCTTAGGTCGGATTTTACGGCAGTGCGAATACCCAGGAGAACTAAAGAGAGGCGTTCACTCCAATGTGAAGGTCGTTTTTGGCTTTCAGAGAACTTTTCAGCTGCAGATGGAAACGTTCGACGAGGCCATTGGCGATAGAATGGTACGCTGTGGTTCGAAGCGGGTAGTTCCAAGGAAACGAGTGAGTGAGCCAAAAAGATGACTTTTGAATTGTTTGCCCTAGTCGGTACTAGGGCCAACCAGGTCGATGTGGGCTTGAGAAAATCGGGCTGAGGGGAATCAAAGTTGGAGAGGGGGGCACAGATGTGACGGTGAACCTTGCAGCGTTGACATTGTAGGCATGTTCGGGTCCTTTGACGTACATCGCGATTGATGTTGGGCCAGACACATCGCTCGGTAATCAGACGCTGATTTGCTTTAATACCAGGATTGGACAGGTTATGGAGGGAATCGAAAAGAGAGCGGCGAAACCCTTGTGGAACAAAAGGGCGTGGCTTACCAGTAGATATAAATTATTGCAGGTAATGGTGGTATTAGAGGTGGGGATAGGATGATCTTGGAATTGAAAAGGTGAGACTGGAGGATCATCGCGAAATTTTGCCATCTCTTCATCATGTTGTTGAGCCAAAGCCATGGCAGCAAGATCGATGGTGGGTGGGGAAGGAGTGATAGTGACGACGCGCGACAGGGCACTGGATTTTCAGGTACCTTGACATAGCGGAGATCGGTTGTAAATTGGGAAATGAAATCCAAGTGGCGTATTTCTCGAGGTGAATGACGATTGACGGAGTTGTGCAAGCATATGTCAATGGTTTATGGTCAGTAAAAACGAAGAACTGGCGGCCTTCTAGGTGGTGACGAAAATGGCGAATGGAGAGGTACACTGCGAGGAGTTCACGCCCTAAAGTGCTGTATCGAGTTTCCGTGGGTTGAGGTCGCTTCGAGAAGAAACCAATAGGTTACTAAAAGTTGTGAACCTTTTGTTGAAGAACGGCGCCAACGCCCTCATCAGAGGCATTGGTCATGTGGCACAGTTCTGCACCATGCTTAGGGTGGGACAACATCCTAACATCCTAAAGAACAATGAAAACTTTCGTCATGCAGCATATAAACAATATGTTCTACTGTATTGGGTGCAATCCTTCTAGAGTATTCACTATCCAGACCAATTCTCTTGTCTATGGTTCCCTCTGAACTGATCCTTTTTGCAAAGACCTTGAGCAAGAGGTTAGCAATATATGTATATTCCTTTGGCACTAGGACTCTTGGTCGGCACCACTGCTTTGTCCGTTTGGTGTGTATACGTCCATATCTAGAAAATAAAAAAACAGGAAAATCGATGTCGAAGTTTCTAAAATTCATTTTCTGTTTGTCGATATGAATATCTCTTTTTATGCCAAGCTATTAAAACTATAGTCAACCCATTTGGTATATTAATCTGTTGTTAGACATTAAAAATTGGGTGGAGCGACTGAACTGAGCCACATAATAGGTTAGGCAACACATTAAAAGCATAAAACACTATAACAATCCACTTACTTTTGTTCACTATTCAGCTGTAATTGCAAATGCTCTACCTCTGTGGCAATTAAAATCTTAGGCAGCCGGAAGGTTCCTTGCTTTGTACACCGGATACTTGTTGAAAAAGGAGTCAACAGCACATGCACATAAATCTATCGCAAAGATTGTCTTGGATATTCGGTTATTGAAAATTTGATCTATCATGTCAATTTCACGTAATATTTGTCATGATATGTTTTGTTATTGTATTAATTTTTATGAAAACATATATTCGTTTGTATACAAATTTAAAAGTTTTATGAAATATATAAAAATAGTTGACCTGTATCCTGATGGTATAGTGCTACCTGTTTCACCATCTTCTTGATCATCATCTTCATCATGTCCTTTTATTGTTACATTCAGGGTATGGGTCTTCGGAACCAGTAAGTGTTCTAAAACATGTTTCACAACCAGACATGAAATAAAATGCTCTCAAATGCACATTGTATAAAGATAGTAATAAGAACTCTTTCAAATGTACAGCAATTAAAACATTAAATAAAATGCTCTCAAATGCACATTGTATAAAGATAGTAATAACAACTCTTTCAAATGTACAGTAATTAAATCAACTTACTTAGAGCTTTTACCCCACGGATTATCCGGGTTTTGAAAACTGGAATCACTACCCCCCTCTCCTCAGTTCTCTGGCAGTAAGTGTGTCTTCTATTAATGAAATCCTTTTAATAGTACCATAAAAAATGTATAAACTAACATACACCATGTATATGAACTAAAGGCTATTAAAAAATGACAGACCAAGCTTTGTGTCTTCGCAGCATGTGGTGAACTGACAACATCTGACAAGAGACTTTTTCCCGCTGAAGACAGTTGCACAGAGTTGAGGAAAGCACTACGCAAAAGTCATACACTCAGCATGTTATTAATTAACGTTATTAAAGCTTTTTTGGGTTGTCTGTAAACGATATAATATGAATAACTGAACAGAAAACCACTGACGTTGCGACGGTAATCTCCCGGTAATTTGAGGACTAATTGTCACTTTTTCGGACGCGCCTAATGTCTGAATTTCAACGTGGCAAAAATATATACAAATTCTAGTCCAAAAAAACTGTTAAATGAAGAGTATTCTAACACCAATCTAATATATCCTAATCCCCGAGCGGGCGCGGAGCGCCTGCGAGGGTACTAATTCCGCTCGGAGATTAGGAATTACACCCGGAGCCCGGTAGAACATAGGCGAATCCAAAGTTGTCCAAATTCTTTGTCATGGACGGTCGACGTTGGGTGGTTTTGTAAGTTATGCGCATGCGCGAGTAACTTCTGGTAATCAACGAACGTTCTGATTGGCTAAGACAGAAAGTTTGTATTTCAACGAGAACGTCAGCAATTTATATTAACTGTCATTTCGTAAACATTTTTGTAAAAGTGTTTCATAAACTTTGTGCAAAGAAAGTAAAACGAGAAGAA